AATTGTTGGAATCTTTGCATAACGACGAACAAATTTGTCGTCGTAAGACAGTGTAAGCCAGTAACGTTGCACGTCCGAATCATTTGCAGGAAACTAACAAAAAGAGAAAAATTAAATATTTAATAAAAAAAAACCAAAAGACAAAAATTCTATTTACCTTTCTTATCGTTAGTATGTAATAACAAAAAATTTGATTCACGGAAGTATTTTCTCTGTACGTAGTATTTTGAATTGTAGTTAAGTTATATTTATCGGTGAATGCATTGCTATTGAATTGTTGCATATCTAATTTTATTCCTGGTATTAGGCTTTTCTGTAGATGTTTTTCTGTTAGATTAATATTTATATCTGTGAAGACTATATCAAAATAAGCGGTGGTTTGGAATTGCAAAAATTCAAGATTTGAGAGACCAGACTGAAGACGAATTATATATGATTCAATAACATCACGGGTAAGTGAATGATTCATCGGTAGGTAACGATTAAAGTCTAAAAATGCGAATTTTTTTATAGTTTTTAATTGAGAAATGTACTCGACTGCGGCGTCATCAACTAATATATTGAGCAATTTCAAATATTCAATCGGCACATTTTTTATTGTTAATTTTTGCATTAACTTCGTAACTTTAAGTAGTTGCTCATCTATAGAATGTTCTCCAAAAAGATCTTCATAATTGATTATTGATAAGCTTTTTAGGAATTCGAATCGACCAAAAAGTGAAATATTCATTGGTAAATGACTTATGCTATCCTTACTGCCATGCCTTGCATTACCATAATACAGAAACTTCTCCAATTGTGTATTGTAATTTAAAAAATTTATGAGAGCAGGAATCTGTTTTGTATAGGTATAATTATATTTATCATCCCAGAAGAATGCTACCAATTTCGGGCAGTTGATTGAAGGAAGAAAAACCGGATGGATTTTATAATCTAATATCGATTTTTTAAATTTTCGAATGATTAGCTTTTCTATTCGTGTAAATAATGGAATTATTTCATTCACCGTCTCTTTCTCCAATTCGAAATCAATGATACGAAAATGACGAAGATTCACGCAATGTTCGCTGATCATTTTTAAAATTATTTTAATTTTTAACCTATTTGCCGATTTCAATTTATTTCCAATGATTTCAGCTTGATAAATTGAAGAGCCAAAATGTTGTAAATAATGATTTGCTTCTGATAATGTAAATATTTGCATATCACTAATATCAAACATATTCTTTTCGTGCTTTCTTGCTAACATTTCTGTTAATATTTGATTGAATTTAACACAAACATCGGCGATTATATAATAATTTGACGGGTGAATTCTTTTGAAAATTTCATATAAACAATCATCATTCAAAATGTTGAGTATATTTTTCGGAGATTCTCTGTCTGGTTGATGCAATAATGATATATCATCAACCTTAACCCTTTGACTAATTTCAGCTGAACAGTATTTTCTAAAATATGCTTCTTTGCATGGTTCCAAAATAATTTTCTGATTCTCTATTGTGATTCGTCGTTTTAATAACACAGCAACAGCTTCTTGATGCGTTGTGAATTCGACAATAGCAAGCCTGTGCTGATGAAGCTGCGATGTATCAAACACCCTTATATTTTTGATTTCACCAAATTGTTTGAAAACTGGATAAATTCTCCATAAACACTCGACAAGCTGAATGGAGGAACAAATATACGAATAAAAATTAAATTGAATAGAAAAAAGCAACAAAAAATATTCATCTACATCTCTTACAGTGTACTGTGTTTTCCAATCGAATTGAATAGCATTATTTGTTAAAGAAAAATCCTGTCTGTTAAAGACATTGTACATCGCTTTAAAAAAATTCATTTTAAATATACTAGGATCTACAACGATTAGTTTATTTACAACTCCTTTAAACTGAGAAAAAGTAATTCGAATTATTGAAATTTCATGGTGTTGAAAAATCAATAAAATGTGAGAAATTCAACTCTGTCAAATGATGCCAGAAAAGTTAATTGTGACAGAAATGTCAAAACAGATTACAAGACAGAAAAATCTAGGTAAACATAAACAAATACATAACCTTAAACTTTTGCCGGTCGTTCGTCAGTTCAAAAAAAATAAAAATATAAGAAAATATGTCTGGTAATACATCAGCAGGTGCGCAGTCAGTCGATGCTGATTTCAACCCAAAGGACGTTTGGCAAACCAATTCCGAATTGGTGAAAAAATATAACTTTTTTGCAATGATCGCATCGTCAATATCAACTGCTGGTGCCTTGCTTGGTGGATTTGCAGTTGTAGCTTCAATTTTTGGTCGGCACGAACAAATAATTTCGAACTTTGGTTCTATTCTTGGATGCATCGGAGCGATGATTGCATTCGTTTTTCAAATGAAAATATTATTTATGCCGAATCCACAGAATAGTGTCACGCGTTCAAATAGCGAACAAACGCAAACGATTCAGGCACTAGCTATGGATTTGGAAAAAATGGTTCTCGAGATTGAGTCAATCAAAGAAGAGTAAGTATTGTGCAAAATGATTTATAATATTTAACGAGAAAAAAGCAGTTGAATATTCAATTAACATATTTAATCATTACTTTTTCAGTATAATACGCCTAAAAGCTACTTCAAAAGAATGGAACAAACAAATAAATCAAGAAATGGAATAAATAAGAGAATGAAAAACCGGAAAAGAAACAGAAAAAGAAGATTAAGAAGAAAAAAAACGAACACCATCAAAAGATCAAATCCATTTCCATTCGAATGTTTATTTAATGGAATTTGTACTTCCACGTTTTTTTTTAAGATCATTTAATTTTTAAGCGCATTGCCGATATCTGATTCCAGGTCGCTCCAAATCAAGTGAATAGCAAATTGAATTATTTACATTAGAAAATTTATATTTCGCCATAAAACTCGCTGTGACTTCCCAATAAAGTATTCATTAAACTAATACGTTTATGTCGGTCAATTCTTCCTCGCCCCATACCTCGGATCCAGCATTTAGAACGAATTTCTGTGCGGTATAGTTTTTTCATTTAATCGAATCGTTACATCGGAATATGTTTTTCGTCCATAAATTGAGGTCACTGTCATTATCAAGCAAGAAACAAAGCTGCTAAACTCCCCCAAATCTTTCTCACCAAGAGCTGTAGCTGCTTTACTACATTTTCTTTCAAGTTCCGCATAATTTCGTTGAATAAATATTCTAATGAAACACATTTATGTCTGCTTGCTCGTTGACAACAAAGCCAATAGTCCGCTTGAACCGATGACAGTCAAAATGTAATTAGCAAGTGGTGATGTGGTTCTGAAGATGTAGAAGCTGACGAAAATAACGATAGCCAAGAACAAAGCGTTATTGTAAAAGATGGAGAAAGTGGTGGCTTCGTAGTCGGCGACTTCATTCTTTTTCCAGAGTGTGCGTTCATCTTTCTCCTTACGGCTGGTCTTTTTATCTTCGGACAATTGCTTAGCAACTTCACGGGTGACAGCTTCTTCGCGTTTCAAAGCAACTTTGTGTTTCAATGCAAATTTTGTGTTTCTATAAGCCATCGCCATTAGATAGGTGCTCAAAGCGGTAATTGCAACGAAGAAGATCAATGCCGAAATCAGGTCAATTTGGTGAATTCTCCAATAGAGCCCTGCAAAAAAAAACGAAACAAAATTGTGTGATTATTTTCGTCAACTATAAAATTCTATGCAATAAAAACTAAATTTGGTTTGGTTTTACTATTAGTCGGTTTAGTGACGTGTCAATAAAAGCTTTTCTTTATGTTCAACTCCCAATTTACTTATGTTATGCTCACATAATACTTACAGATTGGAATTGCCGATACGATTAATGCATTACGTAGAAAAGTGCCGAAGATTTTGTGCTAACATTTCGGCTGAAATCGTTGAGAAGAAGCTCTTCTTCTTTTGTAAATCCAGATGATGTTTTTACTGATTTTGCCATTTTACACTTTTATTCAATAAATAATTCCGACTGAAACAGAAGACGACAGAGTTGACTATGAAAAAGTGTTGTGTGTACGATGTGCGGTATACCAAGTGAAAGAGAACCCAATGAATACGATGGAAGCTACTGTCTACGCGTCAACGAGAAAAGAAAGTAAATTGTCATGCGACGTGTTAATCATTTGTCAGTTTAGTTGGATTGTTAGTGTCGCCATCTATGCTTTCAGAATAAGACTTCTTCAATTCATGTAAATTGAAATCCGTTCAAAAATAATTGATGAAGACAGATCTTCATCGTGTATGATTTTTAATCAGTGTCAGATCGATAAAATATATATCGAAGATTTTCTCGGTTTCCTCGCACTTTCAATGGAACGCAACCAATATTCAAAATAAAAAGAATTGTTGTCATTTAGTGCAGTTCAAACAGCATAATTATCTTGCGTACAATCAAGACCGCAATTAAGTTGAATAGGCCAAGAACTCATTATGAACACATTAGAAATTTAACAAATTGATCGTTGTTAGACTATGTTGAGCGAATACAGATGACTTCCAACAACTCAAAGTATTTTGAAGTATCTTACATATCTTTGGGTAAGAGTTATTTCTGTTGTGAAAGAGGAGATTAAGCTTCTATTTTGATCATATTCATTTTTAATGCGATTATTTTATTTTATGCATATCTCATAAGAAATAACGGTTTGGCGTCGCAAACTCAATATGATAGTTACAGTAGTTTCGCGAAAAGCGTGAAAAATGGGGCATAATTTATTTTGTATTTGGATACAAATGTACAATTCTATTGACTAGATCGAGAGGAGAGTAAGTTCATCTGACTTTGTTAC